AGGAAGGGGAAGTAAATGTAAAAGGGAACATAAACCTTGAGAGGAGCTTCACAGAAGAGAAATCAATTTCCCATATATATGGGTTTATGTTCACACATTCTGCATTTGCATCAGCGCGACACTGAAGGTGTGAGAGAGGGAGATGATGTGCGGCTCTTTGGAAGCCTCCATCAATTCCTTTCTACACAAATCCAGCACCGTCACGGGCAGCACCACCCCCTCCTTTGCCGGCTTTGCTCCTCTCGCTGTTATCCTCCCTCGAGGGATGCCATCATCAGCTCCAGTCCCGGAAGTCTTGCAACAAAGTCCGTCCCATCGTAATCCAATTTGCGACAGAGCGATGGGCAGCAGATAACTGCAAGAGGCACGCAATTTGGTTTGGTGATGTCATTCACATCCCCCACTGAGTCAGAGCGACCGGGCGGCATGCCTAAAAGGAGAGGCTTTTCCTCATCATCAGTGAGTGAAATGTAAGACTTCATCAAGGAGTCTTTGCTTCATTAAAGGTCTCCCTTCAGCAAATGAAGCTCCAAGGAAACTGCATAAAATCCAGAAATGGACTACGTGGCTGATTGAGCTGTTCAATTAAAACCCAACATCCATACGGCCGTTCATTTGCACAGAATCTCCTCCAAGCCCTGGTTTTCATGGAGGCTGAGAGTCCATCAGTGTGGGATAGCTGAGAAAGTAGATGACTTTCAAGCTAGTCATCTACAGCTAGCCTCGGGGACTCTGGGGAAACTGCTGCACGCTTCTGAGCAGAGGTGTTTAATGGTTGATTAGCAGTCTTTGGGAGTCGCCCTGTGCACCAAAGGCACCGTCCTCTCTGTTTTATCCCTCGCTGCGAAATCAATTAGCACAATTACAAGGCCTTAGTCCCATTAAACATTAATCACAGGGCGTCACGGTCTGGGTTAGCAGCTAGCTTTAATTGACGACTGACACGACGGTCTCGGCTTTACGGCGCACGAGATCTCATCAGACGGCATTTCAGCGACGATGCAGGAAATCTGACGTGTAACTCTCAGAGGATGGAGCGCTGAGCAGACTGCTGTCATCTCCACTTCACTCCAACATGTCACAGACTGATATTTGATGCCAGTCAGCGTCTCTGTAGATGAGTGAGATGTCCTCTCAGGTGGTCGTTTTATTAAGGTGTGACGGTGGAGCTTGGATCAGGGAATGAGGAATACTCTGGAATGTGTCAGTGATTATCCAAAACAACAGATTCAAATGAAAGTCAAAGGAGCTAGAAGACGGACGAATTCTGCTTCCACTTTTTTATTTGAACAATATCCACACCAGAGCACGCAATGATGCCGTGATCCAGTCGCCTGAATCTTGGTCGCTGACCTGAAAACTGATCTGAAAATCTCATCTGTGCCAGCAGCAGTAGAGTTTAAAGGTCAGTGGCTGATGGGGATGAGTCGGTTTACTCCAACAGCATCGGCCGTATGAAACAGAGGAGTCAATGCGATGATTTCACCCTGTCAGCAGAAGGCAGGTTTTCTGGGTGTGGAGGCATAAAAATGTTCTCTTACTTCATTCATGACCTCATTAAACGCTTTTCTGATCTCTGCTCGCAGTTGTGAATCTGATGTTTTTAACATTTAGAATGAAATAGACCTTCAAATGGAGCGAGACTTTGGAGGGTAACCTCAATGCTCCAGTTTCCAGTTGGAAAAGCCAACTGGTCCATCTTCCATGTACACTGGGCCTGATCAACCTGAAGGATAGATCTGCTTTTTAGACTTGTTTACATCCAGTTTCCATTTTTATTGGGACAAAATTCCAGTAATGTGGAGAACAAGGATGAGACCAGCTTTGAGACTGAAAGACAGGTTTTGTGCTGGCACTTTCACGCTGAGTCTGCTGTAGGACGTAAAGGACATAAAGACACCGTTTCTATCCTTGACTGCATGTTGAGTCTCACCCCATCACGCTACCTTAGACTGTTTTTAACTGCCGGTGTTACGCTTCTGTATGAACAGTTGTAAATCTGAAACCTGATTCAATCAGTTAAATTAATTCCACGATTTGAAGCTAATCTCAAATTTACTCCTGATGATGGAGGCTTCCTGCGTCGGGCGGCCCTGTCAATGGGACTGTCCTGCCTCTGTCTCCTTTTTGGCTTGTGTCCCTGTCAGCTGTGGGATCATAAGAAGCTTGGCTGTTCTGTTTTCCCCGCTGCAGCTCACAGTTAGCAGCCCGTCCTGCGGCCCTGGTAATTAGGACTAAGAGGTTTATCTGAAGTCGGAGCTCTCAGGTCCTGGACAGATAGAGCTGACCAGGACTCGAGACTCTCCAGAGACCGTCGGTGGCTGTTTCTCATCCATGGACCGCCTCCACCTCCCCAGCCCACTGTTTTAATAAGTGTGTGCCTCTTGTTTTGACTGAGGGTCTCTCAGTATCATCTAAGAGGAACAGGAGGTCATTTTCTTTTTTTTCCTCTCGGTCTCGTTTGGCGTTCAGCTCTGCAAATACATCTCACACAAACCCAAGTGGCCCAGCCTCACTGTGAGCTTGAGGAGCTGGGCGCTGTCAGCGTGTTGGGCTAATTTTACCCCTACCACCAGGCCAGGAGGGGTGAGGTGGGAGGGAGAGAGAAGGAGGGCACGTTAAGGATGTTATTTTAAGCAGCTGAGTCGGCGCATAGGATGGGAAGCAACCTGAGAGTTTATCAGAGGTGTGCGTTTGTCTGTATGTGGCCACTACTCCTGCTATTAAAGACATGTATTGGTATATATTAATAGTCTGTGGAGTGATACTGTACTATGGAGTGCAAGGAATGCACACACCCCAACACACACACACACACTTGTTTTCATATCTTAGTGAGGACATCTCATTGACATAACCCCTAACCGTAACCCAACCGTAACCCAACCATAACCCAACCATAACCCAACCGTAACTCTGACAATAAAACCACATTTTGAGCCTTAAAAATTTTGGGGGGGATTTTGGTCCCCACATAGATATGTAAACATGCTGACTGACACACACACACACACAGCCTCCTTGCTCTCTGACACTGTGCAGCATTGTACACCTGTGCAGATGCAGGCACGACCCACTACTGTTTTTAATTCCTTTAAACACACTTCCTGACACTCTGCCTCAGCATCGAGTAATTACACCCACCTTGCGCTGCATGCAGCTCATGCTAGTGAAATGAAATTGCTCTTTTTTTTTATCGTTATCATGTTGTCAGACCAGCTGCAGATTCAGCCCTTCTTAGTGCTGTTCAGACTTGGTGAGCTGCAAACTTCATTCCCGCAGACTTTAGGAAAATTGCTAATCAGAGCAAAACTCAGCAGTGCTGATTTAAACCGCTGTCCTCTCCTCCTCCTCTTCCAGACAGCGAGATTGTTCCTGCAGACTGCCTGCGTCCACGCTCCTTCACCACGGTGCGCTCCTCCTCTCTGCGGCGTGAAGCGGACGACTCGCGCCTGTCCGTCAGCCTGTGCGACCTCAACCTGCAGCAGGAGGACGGTGGCCCAGCCCACAGCCGCTCCCACCGCCACACCCTCCACCTGGCCTCCACCTCCTCCTCCTCCAGCTGCCCCATCCCGCAGAACTCCCTCAACTCCCAGCAGTCCTCCCTCCTGCCGTCCACCCTGGAGAGCGACCTCCACTTCCACCAGCTGCGCGGCGCCCACATTAAGACGCTGGACGAGCAGACGGTGGCGCGATCCGAGCACGCGCGTGAAGAGCGCACGCTGGTCTTCACGAACCGGCCGCTGCGCATCGGCGAGACTGTGTTCATCAAAGTCACCAAGTCGAGCCCGGCGCGCTCGGGCTCTCTGTCTTACGGCGTGACGTCCTGCGACCCGGCGGTGCTGCGCCCCAGCGACTTACCCTACAACCCCGAGGCCCTGGTGGACAGGAAGGAGTTCTGGGCGGTGTGCCGTGTGCCGACGCCTCTACAGAGCAGTGACATCCTGGGCTTCTTGGTCAACCAGGAGGGGGAGGTCATCCTCAGCCACAACGGCGCCAACGTGGGCATGCAGGTGTGCGTGGACAACTCCCGCCCGCTGTGGATGTTCTTCGGCTTGCACGGTGCAGTGACGCAGCTGAGGATTCTGGGTAGGTTACCATAATAACAAAGGTTAAACTACTTTCAGGCCCCTGGCATTTTGTGTGATTGTAGGTCTTTATCTTATAATATAAAGCAAATGAAAGTCACACATCAGAGGAACAAACTCTAAGACGATGATGCTGAACTGTGAGCCTTTAGTTGCCACCCGGCTTGTGACCACTTTCACTGAAAGAGGCAGAGGCCCAGGTTTGAGCGCCTCGGGCTGATCTCCAAGTCTTGTTCCCCAGATGTTGTCTCCACCCTCTCCTGAATTATTTATCATGCAGGTTTGCTGTCGGTCCTTGTCCTGCTTTCATTGAACAGAGCATTTGTTCAGGTGAGAAATCAAGCTCAGCCACGGTCCCACATCAGCTGATGTCTCAGCTGATTATCCCTCTACACATCCAGTTAGCGAGACTTCAGCTGCCTACATTTGCAGCACATCTTTGAGTTGCTTTGTGCTGAAGCCCACCTCACGTGTTCCCTCATGTTTGTAGCTGCTGCTGCTTCCCCACAAGGCAAATAATATTCTCAGAAATTATTTAAGAGGGTCCAGAACTCTTGGAAAGGCTCCTCAGTTCAGGTCTTGCATAAGGATTGCTTCACAACACTGGTCCCTGCATCTGAAAAAGGTGACCAAGCGTCTGTTTGCTGGTCCTTTTGTTTTTTTCAGACCCTCTAACATGTGAACATACGTGTTTGCTGTGACAGGAAACAGAGTCAGTAAGAAACTACGTCACAGAGCGCTAACAGGTAAACTCACTGATCACCTGTCCCAAAAAACAACAGCGTGCACCGTTAAACAACATCAGTGAAAGGTGTGCTGCCAGCAGAGCAGTCGAACACTGAACACGAATCAACCTTCGATGTAGGAATCAGTCAAATATATGGAAGCTGCTGTCTGCGTTTCCTCTGCCAAATGAGAGGTTCGGCTGATTGTTGGTACTTTAACTTCCCGACGTCGTAAAATCTCGTTTCACAGGATTACAAATGGCTGTGGAGTGTTTTGGTGTCTGATAACGCTTCAAACTAATCTGCAGTGAAAGTGGATTTTCTGGTCTGGATTTCATTTTCTTACTGGCGCCCGTAGCAGAACGCTTTAAAACGAAGCTAATACATTGTGAACGCAGCATCAAGAGCACGTGTATTTAGGACGTGTACACTCCTGATGATCTCACCATGTTCTCTTTGGAGTTTCTTTGAGTTTTTATTATTTAACAGGGGGGCAGTGTTGTTAATGAGGAGATGAGAACGGGCCAGATTTTAGCAACACAACAGACGCGCAACACAACAAAAGAAAAAGTTACAACGCTCCGAGATTTATTCCTCCATTATATGTCAGGATGTCCAAATGTGGCGAGGCACCCCACAGTCCCCCCTAGTGGTGGCCCTGGTGCCAATCGGTCAGTTTTTATTTTTTAATTTATTATTTTAAGACATATCTGCAAGTGTCACTAGTGCTCCGCCTCCTGCATGTGGAGCAACGAGCACCTATTCTCTGTGGAAGAGTAATTGATGGTGAGAATAGCCATCCCTTTAGCTCAGCGATGTGTCCGGAGGTCAAGAACTTACAGATCAATGCATTGATCTTAATTTGTCTCGGCTCCCCACTTCCTCCCTGGGGTCCAAATCTATTTGTGTTAAGTGTTGAACGCTCTGACAGTGAGGCGGCTGAGGAAAACAACTTCTCAGTCACGGTCATGACTCTTTATTCACCAGAGGGTCAAGAGTTAGCGAGAGCGCTCTATTACTCTTGTTTGTCACAATATTTACAGCAGACGTCCCATAAAGCAGGAAGAGTCTAAACACAGTCAGAGGATTAGCGAGAGGAGTAGACTCTCAGAGGAGAGGAAAAACAGGAAGAGAGCGAGCAAAGGTGGAAAAGTGGCCACGAGAGGCTTCGGTGTAATCGAGACGACGTGAGGTCTCAGCAGGCCGGACGCTTCGCCTGTGCGTCAGGGCACCGGAGGTTTGTTTATGTTTGATAATGACAGGAAAGTGTGTGCACTTCACGTTGCCCTGCCAAACATATGCTGCCTGTCCTAAAGGTGTGTGTGTGTGTGAACGCTGTCTGCTATTAATTAAGCGGTTAAGAGGCGTAGCAGCCTAAACAGCTATGACCTTTCAGAGGTGTCACGGGTGTTTGTGTGGAGGAAGAGCATCTATAAATACCTGCTGCTTTTCTTCACCAGCAGCGGAAGAGGAAGCCGAGGTTAAAAGAAGTTAGAGGGGAATAACCTGCACTTTAACCAGCTCGTCATCAAAAGCCTCTTTGAAATCTCAGTTCTGTATGTTCGCTAATGTTGGCCTCTGTTAGCCTGACCCAGAGTAGCGGTGACCGCTACGTCGATACGAATCACAGTGAGCTTCAGTGAAGCTCTTTCCTTCCAGCTGATTGGCTGTTAGGCTCTTGTTTTTCGTTCCAAACACATCTAAATGTCTCATTTGTATCGGCTTTTATTACACCAGGAGGTCACCGATTTCACTGTTAAATTACATTTTGACTACGACTGTCTGCAGGCCATCTGGTTGGTCCGTGTGGACTTCCAGTAATCGTTTACTGAAAACGGAAAGCCTTGGCAGCGCATCAAAACAGGAAGCTCAGAACAATGAAAGCGGTCCAAGGCGCATCTCCTTATCGAGGCCCATCTCGGAAGTCCCGCCGAGGTGCGAATCATCTTTACTTTCCAGCTGCTTTGAATTAGGAAATGCCTCTTATCTCAAAGTTGTAACGGCCTGATTTATTGCTCTGTGTTTACTGGAGAGCAATTTAGCTCTCAGTTGAAGCTGAATTCAAACCACGCCTGCTAGAGGGAGAGACGTGTCCCAGCGGGCTCCTCGTCTTCGGGACGGCGGGATCAAACAGTCGTCGCTTCAAACAAAGCGTGAAGTAAAGGACCTTTTGTGAAAGCGACAGCTGTAGTCAAACAGGCACACGAGTATATGTGAGGTGAGCTGAGAGAGCTCATACAGGGTAATGACACCGAGGGGGAAATCAATACTGAATCAGTTCTGTTAGCCTTAACGACAGGAGGCTTTTAGAAGTTTCTCATTACAGTTTGAAGAACGGCGTGTTTAACTGTATATGTGCATCAGTGTGTGTCTCTCTCTGTCAGAAGATTTCCATATCAGTCTTGATATTTAAAGGTGCTCTGTGGAATTTACTCAGAAACAAGGCTGTGTACATTCAGCGCTATTCACAGAAGCCCACAGTGGACATTCTCATCGTCTTGAATGCACACTTTTCCTCACGGTTCCTCGTGCGTTGAACAGAGGTTGAATCATGCTCGAGGATTTTAAATCATGCATGTGTGCTAGCTAGCAGTTTAGCTAGCTCATGTTTCCTGACATAGATTTAGCCATGTCAGGAAACATGAGCTCGCAGTTTAGCTAGCTCATGTTTCGTGACGTGGCTAAATCTATGTCAGAAATCTTTATTCTATCAAAGGTATATTTGTGCAAATGTGCATGAATCA